TTTGCATTTGGCAAATGTTTTTATCCAAATATACACAACTGAAATGAAGCCATAACCTTGGTTTGGCTACCGCCACGCTCTTCAGTTTGAGCTACAGGAATCTGCTGCGGACAAGCAACCAGCCACCAGTTCCTCTTCCCCATACGTACGATTTTCCACATAATTTGTTTCCTGTATTCTTTTGCACCGTCGCAAAGAAGCCATTTTTGTTCACGTTTAAAGAAGCAAACTGATCAGTAAATCAGAATTTCTCAGCAGAAATCTTTAGTGTCATGATATCAATCATATACTTTGTGTCAGTATTTTACAGTCTTTTACGCACATGCTGGAAGGAGCACTTCACTTGCTGGTCTCCCATGATGCATTTTGAAATATCTTAAATAAATATTAGACAACAGATGTTATAATTGTTTTTTGTATTTATGCAAAATGTGAACCTGCTTGCTCTCTCTTTATTTCAATGTCTGTCATCTCTCTTTCTCTCTCATTGGCTCCTGACTCCTTTGCCCTGCTGCCTTGCACCATTAAAGACCTTAAAGACATGTTATAAATAACACTCTAGTCACTTCACATTACAGTCTGACTGACTGCCTGGCACCCGTACTGACCCGCCGCACAATACCCTGGCAGCACATTACCAGCCAACACACACACACACACACACACACACACACACACACACACAGAAAAACTATGAACAAGGCTGTTAGCAATTCCCTCACTGGAAAAAATCAAAAAAGATCATCAAAGGCAAATTAATATAATAGGATATAAGGATTGTATGATCTTTGGATAATATTGGTCTTTAAATGCAAGATTTAAGTGTACCTTAAGTATACTTTCAATGGTTCCACTTTAGCACAATCAGAAATACTTCAGTATATCTTTAGTTGGACTTACTACTTTCGCACAAGTAAAGTGCATTATTTACAAGATTTTGCAGACTTTAATTATACCAGTTTAGTACACCAAAAGTACAATTGCAGGGTATTTTTATTAAGTACATAAAGTTGTAATTGTATTTTTAGTATACTTAGCATGAAATGAATGTATTTCAGATACATTTTAATATATTTACTTCTCACTAGGGTGTACATCCTCGTCACCAAGGCTGCATTTATTTAATCAAACTACAGTAAAGCAGTTGTTGCTGCTAAATATTTTTGTGGAAAATGTGATACATTAGTATTATGTAAATTGAAAGTAAAAAAAAAATCTGAATTGCTTTGAAATACAAATCTTTTGTAACATTATAAATGTCATTTTTGATCAACTTAATGCATAAGTAAACGGTTGTGTATCACAGTTTGAGTTTGCACAAAAATATTAAGGAGAAAAAGTTGTGTTTTTGACTCACCAAAAAGAACCGGCTCATAGAAGAGTCATTTGAATCAGTAAAGCTGACTACACTGGACAAACAGCACGTGATGACAGCGACAGCTTATAGAAAAATACGTTTTTTTGCCATTATTTTGTGGTGCACTGTCTTTTTTTATGTCATCACATTGAAGCTATCTGTTCCTCACACAAAGCTATTGAAAGGAGTGCCCAAAAAAATCACTGTTTTCCTGGTATTTTGTACTGTTTCAACAACAGTGAAATGATACCTAATGAGGCAAGACAGACTAAAAGAACTTACAGACTCCATCTCTGTCATGTGGGGTTTGCTGAGTGCAACAGAGAGCACTGCTTGCTATAGTAGCTTCAAGTCATGTTATCACTTCTCTTCATCTACTAATTTCAACTAGCCCACAGACAGAGTGAATGACAGTCAAGAAAGAGCGAAAGAGCATCATTTACGTGCATTTGAAAGTTGCACTAAGCAGTTTTTACAGTTCACAACTGTGCTAATTATGTAGAAAGTATGACTGTATGACTGAGTGTTCGTCACAATACTAAAAACTATTTTGAGAAATCTGGGTTGGGTAACAATCTAATTTCTGTTTTGTAAATGGACGTTGTCACTAAAATGATTGTCATTTTGATTCACACTCATTCTGTCAGGACAACCTTTCAATTATTGATTAAAAAAAACCTCACAAAACTGTTATAAAAAAAACTAAAATATATGAAAGTTATTTAAAATAAACATTTGTATATTTTCTGTTTTTTACTTTCCTCTTAAATCAATAGGACTGTGTCAACAATTCCCACATCGGGACTGGTTGGCATAATAAACATAAACATGTAAACATAATATAATTTTTTTTATCAATAAATAATAACTATAAAACTTTCAATGATATACTGACAGCTAAACTAGAATTGTCCATGGATTTCATTTCAGATAAATGGTCACCCTATGGTCATCGTATGATTTAAAAACTGATATGATGAAATTTGAACAAATGAACTATTGGAATACAATCAAATGTTTGCCCTTGATGCTTGTCTGTCCTCTTTAAAGTTTCCAGTTGTTTTGCATTGTTTCTGACAGTAGGATATGCATTTTTCAACATCAGGTTAGAGCTAAGAAAGGCATAAAGATCGCCTTCCATCATGTGGGTCAGGACGCGTCTCAACAGTTTTTTTTTTGCGGCAGTGGCTGATACTAAGATAATGCAGCTAATTCCCTTTCAACACACCTCTGAAGAGCTCATTTTAATAACATGGGCTTACATTTGCCCTGAACTTTGAGGGCTAAGCAGACTGTGGGTCCATTGTGAGGCTGCTAACTCATTCTATCTTTTTCTAGCACGGTCCAAGTGGCAGACAATAGTATCAATGTTATCATAGTAGCCCCATTGTGTCTTTGTTGACACAGTTCAGCACAGTTAATCTAAGACATGTCTTTCTGACAAACAATATTTTAATATGTAATATTTGCATTTCATGTGTAACAACATCAAGGTGCAAATTGTTCCTCCTCACAATTAAGCCCAAACAAATAGTTGGAAGGTAAGTAAATATTTTATTATTTACTATAAATATGATTGTCAATAGGATTCAATAGGATCAGCAATCCATCCGGGGTGTTTCCCTGACTATTGCCCAGGATTGTGGGATGGGCTTCAGGATCCTTGCGATCCTACATAGAACAAGTAGTTTGGAAACTGGATGGATGGATGTTTGAATTTACCTCCACAAAGGTTATATTCCAATTTTTTTTTACATAGAAACTCATGAACAAAACTGAGTCGCATTTGTCTTGGGAGGTAACCACAGCAACAGTATGCTGCTCAAGTATTTTTTGTTAAGATCATTATTGGATGAAACATTGACAAAATACAACAAATTAAGCGTTAGCGTTAGTTCTGGCAGGTCACGTGAGTCAAGCTTGCATCAGCTGATTCTCAGATGATCACATCTACCTATAGGAATATGACACCTATCGCGGCATTCCTATATAAGCTCTATTCAGTATTATTCAGCAGCTTTTCAGCTTGCTCCGGTGCAAATTACCCTCCTCCATCCCCAGCTCCTCCTTTCGCCCTCCTTTTCAGAACTTTGAGACACCCCTGAACAAAGACTACACTGTAAAAAATGACGTGAATTGAACGGTAAAAGACTGTAAAAATGCTACAGAAAAAACCTGTTAAATGGTTAACAGTAAATTCCCCTACTATATACGGTGAAAAACTGTATTGGACATTACATGTATTGGACATTAATTTTATGGTAGTATACCGTTTTTGGAAGTGGAAAAAGACCGTATAATTTACAGTCAATAACCGTAAATTGACATTCCCAGAATTTCCTGCGTTACATTTCAAATTTGATGTTTTTTTGTTGAAATAACTATGTTTCTTCTTAGTTTTGTCTTATCAGTTTTGTATATTAGGGTTGCGTGTTACACCTAATGTTGTTAAATTAATGTTTATTGCATTATTTCAGTTTCATGTGTGTTACCGTGATGGTGTTTAGTGTTTGTGTGAATGACACTGTGCACCTTCAATATATGTTATTATTTAAAAGCTGCTTGTGATGGGCTTTGGTTCATCATGTGACTTTCTCATCACCACCTGCATTTGGTGGTTATCAGTGTATTACAAATGTACAAAACAGATTTCAGTACTTCAATAGGTTGGTATATTAACATTATATCAATTAATGAAAATACGGTATTTAACTGTAAATTTAAGTTAAAACCGTAAAAACCTAAAACATTGCTACCATATTTTTTACGGTAAAATTCCGGCAACCACAGCTGCCATTTTTTACCGTAAATTTTAGAGATTTTTTTTTACAGTGTACAGCTCTCTCCAGATAGAAAATAAAGGACCATTTAAGTTGTTTCAGAACTCTTGGTAAGTAAATAATGCTGGTTGTTATTGTTGTTCTTGAAATCTGATGCTTGTAACTGTAAATGAATAAAGTGTGACGTTCAAATCTGAAATAAAAGAAATTTACAAAGGTGTCACAATGAATCAAGTGTTTGAAATGAATCAGTCTGATTGCAGAGTATTGGAGTGGTGGGAAACTGATAATGCATGATTATATTATGCAGAGGTTTCCCTCCTAAAATGCTTTGTGCTCCATCATCATCCACTTAGAAATGCTCTAGCAATTTTATGTGTATTATAAAATACACATTGTATTATACTTCTACATTTTGCATACATCCTTTCTTTCCCACACCCACATTTTTTCCACTGTGTGAAATAACCAGAGGTTAAGAACGAGGCTCAGTCTTTCCGAAATTAATCTGTCTCAAATTAATAAAAGGTTCAGGAATGGGGTTCTAAATACAGATGAGTGAACAATAATATTTTAAGAACACTTTAATTTTCTATCTTTACCAATTATGCACCCTGCATACATGATATTTTATTGTGTACTGTATTATTAGTATGTATGTCTATACAGTACATATTGAATACTGAATATATATATATATATATATATATATATATATATATTGCATTTCATGTAATGACAAAATGCTGTGGAGTGTTAACTATTTTTAGAGCAAATCACCAAGTCAAGCACCTTGTAGCCTAAGTGTAACTTGACCAACAAACGTGAATTATCATTGTGTGCACGCATGTATCATGTGTTACCTTCCACCCGGCAGAGCTGTTGCTGTCTCCTTTATCTTTAAAATAGGGCACATATCGGACCATCCAGTCGTAGATCTGAGACAGGGTAAGTCTTTTCTCGGGTGTGCTCTCGATGGCTCGGGTGATGAGCTCCGCGTAGGACTGGTTTCCCCACGCGTTCCGCCGGGAGGATGCCTTGGTTTTGCGCAGCGCAGCTCCCGTTAAGTCGTGAAATCCTCCGGCATCCAGCATCATCATCCTCCTCCTGCACGCTGGTGATGGAACATGATCCGAATCTACTTTAAATATGGAGAGATCAAGCGACAGATCCGCGTTCACCTCACACGAGAAGTCATTCGTCCAGCTGCATGAGCGAGGTCTGCTGTCCAAATCCGACTCCATATCCACCTGATGAGCCTCCGCTTCATCCTCCTCTATCATCATCATCTGTTCTTAATAAGCCGATGGCAGGTAGATAGTCAGGTGATACTGTATTCTCAGAAACGCCTCAATGAGCCCACCTCACAGAGGAGGAGAGAGAAGGATGCGGTCTGTAGACGAGAGCGCATCACGTTGAAGTGAGTCTGGCTTGCAGAAATAATGGATGCATGTGTTCAGACAGCGGCTCGTATTCAATTACCATCCCGGTTTTAATTCACTCTGACCACAGCAGCAGCAGTATCCTCCTCCTCCTCCTCCTCCTCGATACCGGTTATTACAAGCAAAACTGGAGCAGCAACAGATGACAGATCTTCGCATTGCACTGAGAACTAAAAACTTCTCAATGCATTATGGATGTCGTAACACTGATGCATATTTGGTAAAGTCCCCAATATATTCTGTTTTACTCAGTTATATTGTAGGCTATTATTATAGTGTTTTCAAAAAAATACAGAATGCCAAAAAAAAACAGAGTGACCACAGAGGCATTAATCTCATTCTGTTTCTTTTCAGTAACCGATTCATTTATATTCATTTTCTGTGGAGTTTGTAATTCTCTACCAAATTTGGAATGTCTGAATGCAATTTAAACGGCATAAATCCAGATTTGTGTCATTCCTATTAATAAACATAACACTTTTTCAGTTTGTGTAAGTCCACTTCAGGTTCTGAGGATTTTTTCCACATTATTTCCCATGTCTATGTGATCTTGTTTCACTAAAACAGTGTATACTTTTTTCTTTATTTACCCTGAATTAAAGTGAAATGTGACAACATGCCCCATTAACAGCTTACAAATGTTATCTGATTTGATAAAAAAAATATATGCAAGACAAATTAAAATATTTTGTCGTTAAAATAGTTTTAAAATTTTTCATACAAAATAACGTCTTTTTAAAATTAATCAAACGTAACTCATTTTGGATAGTTCAAATCAATGAGGACAAATAGATGAAGAACACATTCACACATTCAGAAACACACACAGCTCTCAGAACTGGAAACAAACAGATGAGCACATAAGAGTGCTTCAAATTTCCACCCCACCCTAATTCTTATTTCTATATCCTGTATTCTATCTTTTGTTAGTAGGCCACAGACACATATTTTCGATTCGTAGTCAATAATTTACCAGTCATTCTCTCATGCACTCAGATCTTTATTTGTGTATAGGGTGAATAAGATCAGGGTTGCATAGACACCCAAATCCACTCGTGACTAATTACAACGCAAGGCCAAATGACAGACTAAAATTTCCACAGCCATTTCACAACAATGTTTAATTTGTTATATTGGTTACTATAATTTGGTATTAGAAGGCTTTAATTTGTTATAGTGGTTATTACCATGGCACTACAGTGTCCCATATCAAGGCATGACATTTCAGGCGAATGGAACCTGTAATAAATGTCGCTTCATGAAAGTCACTAAATAAATAAATTAGCCTTGAGTCATTCTTTAAAGTTGGGCTGTTTCACTCTACACTCTTTTAAAACACTTTTAAAACACTCATTTTAAAGTTGTTAATAGGTACCATTTAGGTACTGATGTGTACATTTTTATGCACTTTCAAAGTACACTCTTAAAAATAAAGGTGCTTCAAAAGATTCTTCAAGCGATGCCATAGAAGAACCATTTTTGGTTCCACAAAGAACCATTCAGTCAAAGGTTCTTTAAAGAACCATCTCTTTCTTACCTTTTTATAATCTGAAGAACCTTCTTTCGCCACAAAGAACCTTTTGTGAAACAGAAAGGTTCTTCAGATGTTAAATGTGTTTTATGGAACCATTTAGACAAAAAGGTTCTTCTATGGCATCGTGAAGCACCTTTATTTTTAAGAGTGTACTTCACCAGTGTTTTTCTATTTAAACACACGCTAGACGGATGTGTATGACCATAGCGTTTGTGTCTTTTGCAGCGTTTCGCACATGAGCACTGCGTTTTTATGTTCCAAAACAGATCTGCGTTCCAAAACAGGACTATTGGTTAGAAAGTTTTGAAAAAAGAAATGTAGCTGAAATACGGCCATAAAACCCATACTGAGTAATTCTGAATTAAACTTTTGAGTAATCAGTCTTGTAGGCTAGAATATTTACGTCAAAAGGGCGTGAAAATCATCCTGCTTACTCATTCACAGAAAACAATATTTTGATTTACATTTTGTAAGACATGTTTTGTGATAGTAAAGCTGTATGGGAGGGAGTGACAATGGCCATTAAAGGGGTCATATGATGCGATTTCAATTTTTCCTTTCTCTTTGGAGTGTTACAAGCTCTTGGTGCATAAAGAAGATCTCTAAAGTTGCAAAGACTAAAGTCTCAAATCCAAAGAGATATTCTTTATAAAAGTTAAGAGTCAACCACACCTACCTAAAACGGCTCATTCTAACACGCCCCCACATGTCTACGTCACGATGTGGGAAGATTTGCATAACGCCGCCCAAATGTTCACGCAAAGAAAGAAGGCAGAACTTTTATTCTCACTGTAGTATTGTTGTTGCTGCTGCCGCCATGTCGTGAAGGAGCTGTGTGTTTTATTGTGAAAGCGAAACTACTTTGTTTGGCTTTCCAAAAGGGGATATCCGCTTCGTCATGCCTGGAGCTGATCCGTGCTGGTCGCTGAGGAAATACATCAACTTCGTGCTGTGGATCGCCGGATCGGCTTTC